GAAACGCGTATACATACTCACAGACAACTTAATCCCCTGAAGATGGTCTCAGATGAGATTGAAAGTACTTGGGAAAATAAAAACAGTTTGAAAGAAAATTTTGATATTTTTCCTAATCAATTTTCTAAATCTACCAAAAAATTAATCCGCAAACATGAAACGATCGCAACACACACACAAATATATATTATGAAATGGACAAAGTCCGACAATTATTTTTAGACATTTTTTATGTTTATACGTTCTTTTTTATAGATACAAATATTTAAGTAAAAGTTCTGTTTATAATAAACAGTATTAAACAACATTTACCGGCTTGAATGTGCTTTTACCGATTGAGCCACAGAGAAGCGTTTCGGTTAGCAAGAATTGTAATTTAAAAACAGTAAAATCGACCTTGCAACCGAAACGCTCCTCTGTGGCTAAATCGGTAAATCACATCAGGCTATATGACGGTTCCTTATAGGATACAGGTTAGATTCCTGTCGGAAGACGCATGTTTTCTATGAAAATCACTCGGACATTCAGGCCGGTAAATGTCATTAATACTATTTATTATAAACAGAGCATTTATTTAAATATTTGTATCTATAAAAAGAACGTATAAACATAAAAAATGTCTTAAAAAAAATATATATATATCTGTTTTAAGACATTTTTTTGTTTATACGTTCTTTATATATATATATATATATATATATATATATATATATATATATATATATATATATATATAAAATTGTATTTTGGGCAGGAATCCCTCGTTTATACAAGATTCATTAGCAAAGCATTACGATTAAGCATTTTATTAATTTTTTTCTTGCATTCGTACAAGTATTTTCTTTTCTGAACATAGAATGTGTAAAAACTGTCTAAATGATGCGTGGATCCGAGCGCTTTCGATTAATGTATCGAATATCACGATGTTTTCGTTTTAGGTATATCCACAGATTCGCGTTACCTAAGTTTTAAAATGAATTTTAAAAATTAAAAATCTCTTTTCAAGTTTTTATTTTCGTTTTAATTTCAGCCTAATAGACTAAATTTAATTTTTCAAAAAGCAAAATACTTTCAAAACTGTATTTCAAAACTAATTTAAATTGAATGGAAATCAAATTGTTGATCTCAGCGCTATTTTTAGCCCCCTTTCATCAGAATGTAATTCTCTTTATTAAAAAATAGTTGAGGAACATAAAAATATTTTCCGTAATCTAACGTTTTATTGAATTTTAGATACTTTTTGGTTAGAGCAGAGTCGAGTAGCAGTAGTAAAAAGAACAGTACAGACGTCTCTTCTTCGCTCCGTAAAAATCCACAGTTAACGGTCTCAAACACTATCCTTAAAACGAAATTCTCGGAACAAGTAAAACAAATAACACCATTGACAGGGAACGCCATTGGAAAATTCGTAAACTTAAGGAATCAGCACATATGCTAGGCCACAAAAATCTCCTGAGCCGACCAAGCATAGAAATAAATGCAATATGGGAACCAGTAATAAGGAGTGCCAGAGAAAAGCAATGATAACAAAGTTGCAATATGAACTCTGGTAAAGACATGCAATGATAACAGCAAAAAATTGCAATATGAGCACTGGTAAAAATGATGCTGAAAACATTAGGTTTATAATACTCAGAAGTTCATACCCAGATGTCCTCAAGGACACATGGCACAGTGGATAAAGGCGTTGGTTAGATCCAGTGACAGACCCAAAGAATGTGAGTTCAATTCCTGGTTAAGGCAGTGGAGAACTTTCAGAGGGAAAATTAGCAGGAGATAACTGATATCCATCAAACATGGCACGTGGATTTAGAACGGTCTACCCCAGCGATCGAAATAAAGGGTTCAGTTCGAAATTCCAACCACCTGAAGAAGGCCGGAGCGTACAACGGCCGAAACAAATATGTGACAAATATGGCGACTAATGTAAATACTGTAAAGCAAATAAGCACAAACTTTTAGAGAAACAAAAGAGAAAATAACTCTGAGAACATTTTAACACACACAATAACAATATTGTAATTAATATCACGAAAAGAAAATACACATTCTTGTCATTAATTTCAACACGTGTCGTGACAATATCAATAAGCAATAAAACATTGAGTCCTATGGTTTTTTTTTATCGTTGTACGTTTTTATTCATTTTGTTAAAAAAAAAAAAAAAAAAAAAAAAGGATACCTCTATCAGCTACAAATATAAATAACAACGGGTAACTTACACTAACAAACCTCAACAACATTCATCCTGTTACAGTGGTGACCCCGACATGATCCACTGTATTACTCGACTTGACTCTATTCGTCTTTGCTTGTAGTGGAAGCGTCGCTTTTATAATGATGAAGTTTCAGATTTTTTTACACGTTAAAATATATTTATTGAAAAAAAAAAGTTTGAACAAAGTAACTATAAACAATTTTTTTGCAATCCTCTGTCAGCCACAATGATGAAGAAAGCATTACCTCGAACCATCGTCAGTGAGACACGCTGCAAGAGCCATTCCATTTCTCTAGGCTCGTCTCTTAATCGAGACGCAATTGCGCCAATCCTCCGAAGGAACGCCATCGAACGAGGGCCAACAACCCCAGAAGTCTCCACTGTCACAGGAGTAAAAAAAAAAAAAAACCCAAAAAACAAAACAAAAAAATATGTCAGGAAGAGAAGAATATTTAATTATTTTTTTTTTTTTATCTCTGCGTCCCGGGCGACGGACCCCGGTTCAACCGCGGACTGGATTAAATTATTCAGATTTTTAGGATGGGGAAATATCTTTATCACCAATCATCAATAGTGGAAAGGTTGTTTTTAGAATAATGAAATATCATCACCATTCTCGATTATAACAGTTGCATAAGGTCCTCAGAAAAACTAAACAACATAAAAATAAATTAAGGGGAAAAATACTTCTCTGAATAATTTTTCAAAGAATAGGTACAAATGTTTGAAGCTTAGTTAGCAGAATAGAACAATCATACCAGCCTAAAAATTTGCCTTGATGTGCGAGCGACTTTGATGTTCTTTTCAGTTCTCGTGTGGTGGTCGTTAAATTTCTTCTGTGTTGTTTTTTCCTTGAACAGACCGACCTGTGTTCAGGCAGCAGCTGTTCTTCGACTCCTCGAATTCATTTCTGCTTCTGCTTTTATTCACCAAGATAGGCTCCAGCTTCGCTTCTCGGAATTTAAAGGGAAACCTTTTGATTGGTTCCGAATGAAAACCAATCGCAGCTATTTTCCCACAAATCGAAATGTACAACTAAAATATTTTTGAAATTCAAAAGTTTAAGCAAGAGTTCAACACAGCTTCTGTTTTATCTCAGAAAAGCAGACGATAGACGCTCAATCAGCTTAAATTTCTTATAGTAACTGGGATCTTGTTTTACCAAAAGAAATTGATGATTTAAATTTTCCAAGGAGTTCTGCTTTTAACTAATATTGTGGCAGACTTCACCACATTAATTTAATTTAGGTTTGGAAACCAAACTGAGGTGAAAAAAGGATAAGCCAAAGACATCATTACACATAAAAATTATATTAAACAAGATGTACAAACAAGGATGTGAAAGAAGAAATGCATTGAGTAAAACAAAAGTTGTCTCTCTTTAACTATTATTTGTATTCCAAAGTTTGTGATAGTTTCTGGTAATAAATGTTTTCAACAGTTTTGCTGTGTAAGGAAAAGATTATGTGAGTGTAAGGAATATTCAGCATGTGAGTGATGGTGTGAGTCAGAAGTTTGGCGCATGGTTTCAACTGTCGTGGATTCGTTTGGCAAATGAAATCTCACTGATTATCTAAGAATATTTCTTGCTTATATAGGTGATCATCGGCTCCGAATCGCTGCGCGGGAAGAACTGTTCTTCATGTGCAGACAGTCTGATTTGGTTGGCATTGACCAATCAGCGAGCGAGTTTTGGGGAGACTTAAGAAAGCTTCTTGGATCCGTTTCTCCCAAAAGTGCACAAAATCGGCTACATGAAACTAGAGCGATTGCAAAATTGTCGCATTGCTGCGATTTGTAAATTGTCTATTACAATGTAGTGTTGATTTATTATCCAATGAATGCTTGTCGTTGTATGATTTGTATTTGTGTAAGTATGTATGTATGTGTGTGATGTAGATCGTCACAATATAACCATTAAACGATTCCAAATTTAATTTCTCGAAATTTCATAAAACCGAATATGCGTGTGTGTGTGGCGGGGCGGTAACAGATGTGAAAATATATTTTACCAAGGTTTTCAAAAAAAGGTATTTCTAAAATAATTTAATTAATTGATTTGTGAATAAGTCCTGAAAATTTCATTATAATCCGACAATTATTTGATTTTTTGCAACAATTTCCAAATCTGTGTTTTTCACCGCAAAAAAGACGCTAAAATTTGCTATTCTAATTTATAGGCCGACCCCTGACGCAAGAAAAACAAGATTTTTAACCAAAATTTCAAATGCTCTAAAAAGGGTTAAAAATATAAATAATATAAAAAAAAAATACTTTGCTCTTTCATACTTTCAGATTACGTGAAGATTTTGACGATAAATCTTTATTTCTATCAAGTTTGGGGCATTTTTTCATCATAGTATGTTCTTCTTTTTAGCAAATTAATTAGTGGTGTACCAGGGATGTGATTTTTAAAATTTCCGAACAAGGGCAGCATGTTGTGACCGTGTTCATAGCGGATTGTTTTTTTAAATAATTAATTAATAAAAAAAATAATCACGAGTGGAGTCCTTGTTTGATTTTAATATTGCAAATAATCGATTATCTGTCGAGTCTATTGATAATTATTACAGATAATATAATTTAATGTAGAACTCAACTGTTTGCTGTGTCAACAGTTGATTTTTGCATTCATTAAAAAATTAAAAAAATATACGAAAATTGCGTGTCGCTCAGCATGAACGGGGAAGAATGTTCACACAGAACTTTTTCCTTTTGACAGATGAGTAACCGGTGTTAACGGAGAAAAGACCTTTTTATCGTCTCAACGTATATAGCAACGATGGAAAACGATTCGGATCTGCAAGATTCCGTGGATATTGAAGATGACGAAATTGATCGGGTGATCGACATCAACGATAATGATGTCCCTGAAGGTGAGACGTGCATTCTTTCTTAAGATTCAAAATTATGAGCGGATTATGTTTTTTTCACTGAGCATAGAGACCACGTGTCGTCAGTTTTTTTTTTTTTTAAATATTATGTCGTAGTCACGTAAGGGTTTAGATTCCCTTTTAATGTTTATGTATACCATTAAAGAAAAAAATAAACATAGAAATTAACATTTTTTTCACCAGTTTTTTCCACCACTTGGTCATCCATAGTAGCTGTCATCACCTCGTAACTTCATAACATCGATAACGTCAATTAATTAAGATATGAGAAAGTTCAGACACATCAAGAAATGTTTGGATACAATTTTTTTATGCTATAAGTAAGTAATGTTTGTTTCAAATCAGATTAATTTAACTTTAAATTTTCTAATTTTACTCAAATAACGTGTCAGAAATATATAATTTATTTTAGGAAGAATTTTAAAATCGAAAATTTTTTTTGTTTACAAATTTCTTAAAATTTAAGAAAATGGCCGCTTTTAATAAAATTTTTAAAAAATCGAGCATATATTTGACATTCCAATTTAATTTCTATCTGAAATACAACAGAATATTTTAGTTACTGGAAATAATAAATTTAATCTTTAGCTTTCAATTAAAGCTAAAATAAAATATTTAAGAATGCTTTTTCATTTTTAAAAATTCATTTTAAACCTTAGGTATCGAAAATTGACCGGAGGTACCTAAAGTATTAAAGAGTTGATTAAAACACATTTGATTTCCTGGGTCTGATAGAGCTAAAAATCCACATGTGAATATAAACTAACATGAAAGATCTTCTAAGCATGAAGTGGAACGATAATGATCAACATTTGTGGATTGTATAAAATTCTAAGAAGTTTACTGATTCCTACGGCAGACACCCTGAAGAAGGCAGGTGGATACATCAGCCAGTCCAAATAATAAAGCATATAATAATTACCTATCTAAAAAGAATTCTGACAAAAATAGCCATTAATATAATTGAATTATTTAATTCCAACAACATGAACCACAAAGACAAATCCATTCTCAGTAACCTGTGTAACACAGGTGATTCCATATATGTTGGGATATGTATCAGCTCTTTCCCTGCTAGATAAAGAAATGTTAAAATACCCAACGTGACAATTTATTATTTAGGTTTCATCCCAGAGAGAATAATGCAAGCCCTTTGTTCTCTTACAAGATTCAATGGCTCCAACAGCTTTACTATTTACCCATGGCTGGGGGACAGGCAGAGGTATCTTTGGTTACAGTGCTAAGTAAATTCCAATGCATGGATATAGTATACATTCTTTGTTCTTCCTCCAAATGTATCAACCCAAATATTATTGTTCACTTAAAAAACCCCAAAAAAAAACGGTAACCCCCAAAATGTGATGAATGTAGAATTTATTAACAGTGCATGTCTTTGATCTTTCCCATTTGTTTTTCTTTTAGATGCAATGACAGAAGAAATGGTTGATGAGGAAGAAGAGAAAGATGATGTTGAAATGTTTGAACCTGTTGTTGATTCTTCCAAATTGACATTTGACAAACATGAAGGTATCTTTCCTATCAGTCTTTGAGAGATCAGAGTTAAGAATTTTCAAGGTGAAAAACTCAAGAAAAATAAATTGGTTTCAATCTTCTATATTTCTGTTACCTTTTCATAATTACTCTAAAAATTGGGTAAAGTTTAACATGTGTACCTGCAAAAAAAAATTGTGCATCAAAAGGACAGTTTTTCTCTTGACACTGCTATTACTGTATATATTTTTTTAATCCTTTCACTCCCAAGCAAGGCAATAAAGCCACTAAGATACAAGGGTGTTGCTGAGTGTTACAGAATATAAGAAAAATGAAACATTATTAAGATGAGAGAACAATAAAAGAACAGGTTTGGTTTGTTTTGTTTTATGGCATATCAACCTCAATGTGTTATTTAATGCTGACAAAATTTTTATTGCTGGTAATGTTTTTCTTCAAGAATCTATTTCTGGGAATATTTTTCCTTGAAGAAATCTGTAGCTGGTAATATTTATTTTTTCAAAGAATGTATAACTGTTTGTATTGCTAGTATTTTTTTAAAGTATTGCTGATAATAATTTTTCCTTCAAAAATTATTGCTGGTAATAATTTTTTTATTATAAAGTATATCTGGTATTAAAACCTATTTTTACACAAGTTTGGGTGTTAACTATTTGCCCATAGCTGGGACTCTAACAGGTGCTACCTCCCTGGATCAGAATGGACCTGGGAACACCAGTAATTAAGAGGTGGTTTCACGTTCTTCAAAACCTCCTTATCAGAGGTCTTGCTGTTGGACATAGTTTATTGTCTTACTCAGGATGCAGATGTAGTTTATCATCATACCCAGGATGAAAAAGAACAGGAATTAAAAAGACATGATTGATATTGCATGTAAATTCTTGAAGATCAAAGTTAACTAGAAAGCAAGTGGCCAGTCGAGAATTCCACAAACAAGGAGTGGGATAGGAGAAAAAATTTGCATATGGAAGATAGATTGTTTTAAAAAGCAATTTTTAGACTTTTAATAAAACCAGAACATATGGAACTGGATTTATACATTTTTATTCTCAAGAAAATACAACAAAAAAGTTAAACACTATAATTACTGTATATAATCGCATATCATGTGACCTTTGAAGACCTAATTTTGAAGCTAATTTGGCTATAATAAATGGATATATAGTTTGGTCAACAACATAACCAGGGCCAGCAGTACATACACTAATTTTTTATCTTGTGTATGATGCGACCTCTTTAAAATTAGCTTCAAAATTAGGTCTTCAAAAGTCACTTGGTACGTGAGTATATATGGTAGATTGTTTATTTACAAGATTATAAGAATATGTGAACTAACTTTTTTTTAACAATAATTGACAACAAAAATTTACAATATTATTTATTATAGTGTTTAATTACAAAAATAATATTCAATACTTTTGTTGTCAATTCTCAGGAGAAAAGAAAATGCATAAATCCAGTCTCATATTTTTGTGCTCTATTAAAAATGGATTTTAAGACATTAAAATTTGCTGAGGTGTGTACAGTAATAGCTTCTTCAAGAGAAAACAAATCCTTTTAACACATCTTTTTCTTGGCAGGTAATGTTAAACTCAGCAGAAATTTCTGGCGAGATATGTCAACAACTGCCCTCTGACCATCATTGCTTTACCGTATTTTTCTTTTGTGTAAGAATATGACTTTAGTATAATGTGACCCAGTGTTTCTGAAGTTAAAATCTTGGAATAAATGACACCTTGAGTATAATATGAACTTGTAGTACAGCCATCACTATCTAAATTTTTTTTGAAATGTTATACCATATTATCCATTAAAATATCAATGTTGTATCCACTTAAATTATTGTAATATTTTGTGATTTAAAATTACAAGTATCAGTGTATACTCTTTATATAGCTATAAAATTATTCTTGTAAAGAAACAGTGTAATAAAATAAATAGTTTTTAATTCTTTTGTTGAATCTTGGGAGAAAAGAGAATGCATAAATCCAGTCTCATATGTTTCGTTTTTTTTAAGATTCTAAAAATAGTTTTTTAAAACATCAAAAATTCCCAAGAGAGTATTTTTTTTCCTTTTTTCACCTCCCAGATATTGTCTACTGTATTGATCTTGATCCGACTACAGCAAAACTGGCTGTCACAGGTGGGAAGGATGACCGGGCTTTTCTTTGGGATACACAAACAGGAAACACATTACTGGAATGCAAAGGTTGGTGTTAATGTCTTTATTTTCTTCATCGCAGACTGAATGATTATAATTATTTTATTATCATTTTATTTCATCTTATTCTGACTTTTTATCCTAATACTTTGGGTTGATAAGCAAACATAAAATACATTCTAGAGAAGCAAACAGTTGGAATAAATTTAGCTCTAAATTAGACCAATGGAAGGCTGTGATTGATAAAAGAATTACAATCATATTCTATTGGGAAGATGCAAAATTCTTCCTCTTCTTTATGTGCTGTATCTCTTCAGGACATAGGTGATCATGACTCTCCACATTTTCTCACTATGTATGTTATATATTCTATTCCTCTCTCCCCTTCAATTTATCCTTTGAGTATCAGATTTTCCAAGCCCTCTTTCCTTATTATTTTCTCTATCTTTTCCTGATGTTAAGTTGTTATATAACATACTTATGAACATAAATATGTTGGACACTATTGTAAGTGGGGGTAATATGCTGTCTAAGTAGTCCACCACTAGCAGTGGTTTACCTACTTCACGCTGCTGGTGAGTATTGTATTTTGTTGATGTTATAAAGATTACCATTTCATTTCCAACCCCAATTTTGGTTATTCCTCATTCAATAACCCTTCCTAGATTACAACATAAGTAAGGCATTTCCTTTTTGTTTCCATTTTCTCTAAAACCTCACCGTTGCTCACATATTTAGTCTATGGTATTCTCAGCATCCTTCTGTTGCTTCAAGTCTCTTTTTCATCTTTAAGGAGATTTTCCAAGATTCATTACCATAGAGAAGGACAGATATCTTGTAACAGTTCTGTACTTTTTTCTTTGTTTCTGACAAAGTTTTTCTCTCTCTTAATACTCTGCTTAGCTTTTGGAATACATCTTTGGCTATCCCAACATGCCTTCCGATTTCAGTGTTTCACTGTCTTCTGTTAAAATGGTTTCCAGATATTTAAATTTTTATTCTTGTTTGGTTATAGTATCTCCAATTTGTAATTTGCATTTCGGGTTTATCCTTTTGCTAATATATGTTATAAACATGCATATGGAAGCACGGAAGAACAAATGAAACAATGGTACTGCCAATGAGGTGAATGGAAAAGAAGACAAGAATTGTGAATATAAAATCCTTTTGTATTGCTGATACAATAGATGCAAACTGGTGTGTCCCTGAATGTAGGCGAAGGAGGCAGCTTTGTAGGAAGGGGTAGAGTTGGTAAGGTCTTTTGAGTTGATGTATTTATCAGGTTGGTTGAATGAGGGCACAATATCGATGTTGGGAGAGGTCTGGAGTGGAATAGTGAAATGGGAGAGGAGAGGTCTGGAGTGGAATAGTGAAATGGGAGAGGAGAGGTCTGGAGGGAATAGTGAAATGGGAGAGGAGAGGTCTGGAGTGGAATAGTGAAATGGGAGAGGAGAGGTCTGGAGTGGAATAGTGAAATGGGAGAGGAGAGGTCTGGAGTGGAATAGTGAAATGGGAGAGGAGAGGTCTGGAGTGGAATAGTGAAATGGGAGAGGAGAGGTCTGGAGTGGAATAGTGAAAAGATTTGAAACTGACTTTTTGATTTAACTGAAACAAATATTAAACTCTTCTATCTTCCCTTCTTTCTTTCATCCATTTTTCTCGCTGAAACCAAATAGCATCTCTGATATGTCTTGTTTTACCATGCAAAGAAAATGGAATAGTCCATTATTTATAAGGTATTGACAGGATTCATTAAACACTTGTCTCTTTCCTTCTTTCTTTTTCTCACTGAAACCGAGTAGTGTCTTTCTCCTGTTTCCACACAATCAAAATGGAATAGTCCATTATTTATGAGATATTGACAGGGTGTAACGGTCATGTGAACTAAGGAACTAGTGAAATGGAGGGACAAGCACAATCATAATAAAGATTTTTTTTTAATGCCATGTCTTTTCAGAATGTTGATAATTATAGCTCTCTACAGATTCATTTTAGTATCTGCTATAACTTCATGGGAAACGTAGTAGAGTGATTTTTGTCCATTGCTTTCTCCATGGTTTTGACTTCAGTATAGTCTTTCTCCTAGACTGACTTCCATCCAAGGCTAAATAGCCCAGTCTACCCTGTTATTTAACCCCTAGCTTGGAGAGGAAAAGATGGATTAATGTATTTCTTGGGGGCATTAGTGTGAAGCTGAAGCCAAGGCTGAAATTTGAATACTTTACACGTTACACAACTTTCACATCCTGTAGGAAATAAACTTTCTTAACATGTATTTGGTTTTTATTTTGCCGTTTTCAGGACATAAGGATTCTGTGAGCAGTGTTGGCTTTAGCTATGATGGGACATACATTGCCACTGCTGATCTTGGGGGCAGCCTTAAAGTTTGGAAAATCTCTTCTCTGGAAGAAGTTTGGTCATTTGAATGTGATGACATTGAGGTAAGTAAAAAAAAAAAAAAAACAAAAAATAATCAATTTTCTCATACAATTATTTTAATTTTTGTTAGTAAAAATCTAGTGCACAAAACCATAAGGAATTTGGATTATAGCCACATTTTTTGATACTCGGACATTTAACTGAATGGACATTTAGCCGAAAATGTAGTGGTGTACTTACATGTATGTCACATGTGTGCTACATATATTTATATTTATTTACTGTATTAATTTATAATTTTTTTTTACAGGCTTTTTTTAAAAATCTATTCTGTATATATTATATTTTACCTCAAATATTACTTTAAGTATTTTGAGAAAAACCACATTTTACTACAGCAAAAATCTTAAGCTTTTACAATATGAAAGATCTTTCAATTTTGCTTTTAATGATCATTATCTTAAAGGGATGAACTAGATTTTATCTTATTGTTAAATACAAATTTAAATAATTAGGTGCTACTTTTTATCCAAATACACTCAAATATTTTTAAAAATACTAATTTCAATAAGCAAATATTGAAATAAGAAATCTTTTAACTTTAAATTTAGATTTAGTAATTTAATCACTTGAAATTCATTAGTAATTATTAGTCCTATTCTACCTTATAATACTACTAATTAAACTACTTAAAGTATTGCTTGTGACTATTTTTACTTGTACTTTTTCAGTGAAATATCAACAATATTGAATATATTGAATATTGCAGTCACAATAAGTATGGCACTTCTGCTATATATGTAGAGATTCTTGACAAAATCCAAAAAAAGAATCTGCAATGTTATCAGTCCTGACCTGGCATCTAGGCTTCAGTCAATTTCCCGCCACAATAATGTAGTTTCCCTGTATGTTTTTTTATATATTTTTTCACTGTAATTTTTCTGATAAACTTTCCTCTTTGTTACCTTGACTTTACGAATTTAAATGCAGTACTACAGTGGCAGTTAAGTCTTGTAATTTCAGTGATGAGATTGTTAGTTGTAGCCATAAGTTCTATGCTAATAGTTTCTTCTACACTTCTTGCTTGTGGAACTCTTTTACAGCTTTCTGCTTTCCTGTCAACTAGGATCTTCAAAAATGTAAATGCAATGTCAATCATCATCAGTCTCCTTGAATCCTGTTCTTCTATTGTCCTCTCTGTTCCTATCAGTCTCAGTAATCCCTTGCATCCTAGTAGCTTTTATTGCCTTGCTTGGGGAGAAATGATTGAAAAAAACAAAAAGACAGAAAGAGTAAACTTTGAACACATTTCTAAGATTTCCCTAACAAAGATGATGCTGAGTAGTTTTGCATCAACTTGACAATTTTCTTGTTTTTTTTCCCCTCTCTAGTGGATCAAGTGGCACAAACAAGCTAATGTATTGTTAGCTGGGACGGTGACTGGCCAAATGTGGATGTGGAAAATACCAAGTGGTGATTGCAAAACCTATGTTGGCCCAAATTGTGCATCAACCTGTGCTTGCCTGGCACCTGATGGTAAGTTTTTACTTCTACAGAGATTTGAATGCTCCTCTCATTATCTTTGGGAGCAACTCTGTTACTCATTTAGCCACAGGGAACCATCAGCGGGATGAATTCAAAGCTTCTCATCTATTCTTAGCTACTTTACTCCATACTTTATTGTTTGTTTTCACCTTTTTTTCATTAGATCAACTGTCACTGAGTAGTGAGTTTGATTCTCACTTGGTGCTCCATACATGTGATCTTGTGCAACATTTAAGCTATGCAAACGAATCACTACATGAAGTATTTTAGGCTAAATTATCTTTCAGACTATTTTTTATCATAATGGTCAAGTAATATTATCTTGAATTTTTATTAGATGAACCATTACCAGCCATTATTAATTTTTGACTACTATTTCTTTCATCTTAATTTTACTTGCTTTTCATTGCATCTCCTCAGACCCTCAGTTTATGGCCATCAGTAAACAAGTAGTAATATTATCTTGAATTTTTATTAGATGAAGCATTGTCAGCCATTATTAATTTTTGACTAGTATTTCTTTCATCTTCATTTTACTTGCTTTTCATTGTATCTCCTCAGAGCCTCAGTCTATGGCCATCAGTAAACAAGTTGTAATATTATTTTGAATTTTTATTAGATGAAGCATTGTCCAGTTTTATTAATTATTGACTAAAATGGATATCATATGTCACTTGAAGAGAAAGTAAACACATCATCAAGACGTCTTCATTCCACACTACTTCAAACAAAAGGTTAGAAAGGAAACCTCCATCAATACTGGAAAGAATGATAACAGCTAATGTACTTGTTAAACCTGTTTTCCTGAAAAATTGTTTCAAGAGAAAGATTTTATAAAGTTCAACTTAAAGTATTACTTTGCTGCTTGGTCAATAAATACCAAATGTTTCCTTATAAGGAATTGGCTAATATTACCATTATTATTACTATTATTTAATTTTTTTTGATGTTTCTGCTCATTCTGCAAAATTTATATCTGGACTTCAGTGCCTGACACAGATATTGAACTCATGACCAGAAGATAACTGCAAAATTTAAACAATGCTTATACCCACTGGCTTGTTGGTCTGTAGTATATGATTGACACCAGGAAATACCAGATGTCTGAATCAAATCTAATATTCTGCTTTTATTGAAGAGGAATTGATCTGTGGTGACCCCAATATGTACTGGATTCACCCTAAGAAATACCAAAATAAGTCTTGTACTTGGTGTCACATCAGGAAGTCAAAATACCTAAATGCCACAAGAGTTGACCTGAAAGGTAATCTCAAAGTGCAGAATCGGGATTAAAGTATATTAATCAATCAATAAGGATGACAATAAGTTATACAAACACCAGACTCATGAGGGCCATGACAGAACCCCTCACATCCTTGCAAGAAGATCAAATGCTCAAAGACAGACCCAAAACCACATACCCTCAATTAAATTATTGTCATTTTGATGAAGGTCAGAAAGCTTTGGTTAACCTGAAACACATGATTAAAAATTTTTTGTTATTTTGGTTAACGGTTTTGAATTGGTCATTTACAAGAGCATAGTCTGACTAAGAACTATATATAATGGACTATGCAGATATTGTTACATAAGGGGGGAAACTAGTCACCACTTAAGACAGTCAAAGGGAATATAATCAAAGATGAGATGGAAAATATGGCAGATCATTATTTACATTATTTGGACTATTGTCTTCATCTTTGTTGCCATATTTATCACAATGTTTCTGCCATTGTACTCTCTGGCCTTCATCTTGGTTGTAATGTCGAACTGAACCCTTTATTTCATAGACTGTTCTATACCTTTTCAACTTCAAAATGATAATAATCAACTTCAAAATGGACTTATTTTCAAGTAAAAAAATTAATCAACTCCAAAATGGATTAATCAACTTCAAATTGGATCAATCAACTCCAAAATGGAACAATCAACTTCAAAATGGATTAATCAACTTAAAATTGAGAAAATGTCAAAAACCTAAAAATAAACAACTTCAAAATAAGAATAAACAACTTCAAATTGGAATAAACAACTTCAAATTGAGATATTTTTTTGGTAAATTGAAAATTATTTTTTTCAATTAATTTACCCCATGAGTAAGGAAATTGACTGTTCATCTTCATTATATAGATGAAGAAAAAAACCAAAATACAAACAACTTAGAGGCCAAGAAAGCATTGGGTGAGCCTACAGTAAAAGTAGGAGGAGAAAATCCCGTATGGGCAAAAATGATGATTGATGATGATGCTGGAGAAACCTCTACAAAAAAGCTGAAGAAGAATTAGCAACAAGTCCAAAGAGGACTTACCTCAAAACTGTGGCTGGCGAAAAAAAGGCCCAGATTTTAGCTGCACATGCTGCAGCAGGAAATTGGAAAGACCTGGCAAGAACAATTGGTGGGCCTCTGCCAACAGTGTACCGCTGGTTAGACCAGGGTGCTGATAAGAGTGACTCTAGGGGAGGAGCAAGAAAATATAAAATTATGCAAGAGAAAAAGAATTTTATGTCCAAATTAATTGAAAACTCTGCTAGGGTCACTCTTCAAGACAGTGTAAATAAGTTGGTCGAAAAGTATGAGGTTCGTGTGACAAAAGAATGCATAAGAAAGCACTTGGACTCCATGGCCTTTACTTTAAAAGCGGTTCATTATGAACCAGAAGCTGCCAATAATAATGTCAATAAGGCGAAATGTAAGAATTACACAGTAGCTTTATTAGAATTTCAGTCCCAAAGTGTGCCAATTCTTTATATGGATGAAACTAATTTTAATCTCCATATTTCAAGAAGAGAAGGTTGCTCTAAAAAAGGTACAAGGTGCACTACAGTCGCGGTCGGATCCAGGGGAAATAACATCCATGTTATTGGATGTATTAGTAATAATGGATTAATTCATCATAAAATTAAAAGAGGTTCTTTCAAAAAAGAGGATGCGAAAGAATGGACCAGGGAGTGCCTTAGAAAGGCAAATGAAATTTATGAAAGGTGAGTTGTCTTAGTTATTGATAACGCTCCTTGCCATACTTCAATTGAAGAAGTTGTGGAGGAGGATAAATTTAGGCAACACCAAATTTTCAGACTTGCCCCCTATAGTCCGATGTTAAATCCCATTGAAAAAGTTTGGTCAGTCATTAAAGCTGATGTAAAAAGAAGTATGGCAGACTCAATTGTTGGGATTTTAAGAGGTGATGGCCAAGGATCTTTAACTACTAAAGAATTCTGCCTCAGCAAGTTAGAAGCGATGATCTGAGGCAATTAATAATATTTCCCCTGAGACTTGCACTAACTTCGTATCTGGAATACAGATGATTACTTCCCTCCATAATTAACTTAGCTAATGTAATCTTTAAAATAAATTTCTTAGGATCGTTTATATATTTTTTTTTATCCCTTTTAAATAAAAATAAAAGAATAAATTTATTAGTATTATATTAATTCTCAATTTGAAGTTGATTATTTCTCATTTTGAAGTTGATGAATCCATTTTGAAGTTGATTATTTTTTTTACCTGAAAATAAGTCCATTTTGAAGTTGATTATTATAATTTTGAAGTTGAAAAGGTATAGTTCCACGTGCCATGTCTAACGGATGTCATCAGTTAATTCCCCTCTCCAAGTTCTCCACTGCTTTAACCAGGTATTGAACTCACACTCTTTGGGTCATGTCACTGGATCTAATGCCTTTATCCACTGTGCCATGTGTCCTTGAGGACATCAGTGTATGAATTTCTGGGAATTATAAACCTAATGTCTTCAGAAACCGTTTTTTACCATAGCTCATATAGCAATTTTCATTATTCTTGTTTTTCTCTGGCACTCCTTATTACAGTGATATCCCTTTTTTCTCCATATGTGGTCAGCCATGCCTGATTTTTCCACTTCCCCTCATGTTACAGCTTTCTGGTGTTTTTGAAGCCTTACCTTAAAGGGGCGGCCTATCTCACCTTTATATTTCTTTCCGCAGCTGCACAGGATAGCGTACACATGGTCTTTAGTCATGTTCTCCTCTATGGTGGGGTGGGGGGTCTTAATCAGGTGAGATATCTGCAAAGTGTCATCCAGCTTTTGAAGGTTGTCCTGATGTTATATGGTTTGCAGAGCCTTTGTAAATATCTCTGATAACCCCTTAACATAAGGCAGGCAGACTGTTTTCCGAGTGTTGTTGTCCTCCTCTTGTTGTACCCGCCTATCCCAGTTTATTGAGGCTGCTTCCATGTACCTAGAGTAGTTATTACGTTGTAGGGTACTGCTTATACTGACCAATTCTTTATCTAATGTCTCTGGATCACCATTTATGACTTTTGCTCAGTGTTGTAAGCAGTGGACAATCTCTTTCTTTACGCCGTATGGATGGTGGGAGTTGAAATTGAGGTACTGTCTGGTGAATGTCAGTTTACAGTATACGGATGTCTTGAACCCATGCTCTGTTTGAGATATTAGAACATCCAGGAATAGGAGCATGCTGTTACTCTCTTTCTCCATTGTGAACTGTATCAAAGGTCTCATTGAGTTCACATGGTCCAGTAGAACATAGCTGTATTAAGATAAAAAATAGAGGTAGAGCAAGGACAAGTAAAAAAAAAAAAAGTAGAGGGTGAGCAAGGGAAAGTAAAGGGTGAGCAAGGACAAGTAAAAAATAGAGGGAGAGCATGAACAAGTAAAAAGAGGAGAGGGTGAGAAAGGACAAGTAAAAAAAGGAGAAGGTGAGCAAGGACAAGTAAAAAGAGGAAAGGGTGAGGAAGAACTAGTAGAAAAGTAGAGGGTAAGCAAAAACAAGTAAAAAAGTAGAGGGTGAGAAAGGACAAGTAAAAAGGTAAAGGGTGAGCAAGGACAAGTAAAAAAGGAGAGGGTGAGCAAGAACAAGCAAAAAAGGAGAGGGTGAGCAAGGACAAGGAAAAAAGGAGAGGGTGAGCAAGGACAGGGAAAAAAGGAGAGGGTGAGCAAGAACAAGCAATAAAGGAGAAGGTGAGCAAGGACTGAAAAAAGGAGAGAGTGAGCAAGAACAAGTAAAAAAGGAGGGGTGAGCAAGGACAAGTAAATAAATAACCCATTCAAACTAAACCCACCACCATAAAATTGGCTCCCTGTATTTTTTCTATAAATATTTTCATGGTAATTGTTTGGATGACCTCTTTGCTATGGCATCTAGTCTTTGTGAATTTAAGCGCAGTACTAGACTGACGATAAGGTCTCATCAATTTACAGTTGAGTTGGCTAGATGTAACTGCAAGTTCTAAACTAACAATTTCTTTTCTCACACAATTTGCTTATGGAACTCCCTTCCGGCTCCATGCTTTCCAGCCAACTTTGATCTTCAAATATTTAAATGCAATCTCAATCACTATCTACTGTCCTGTTGATTACTCTTCTTTTGTTTTTGCTCCTTAGCAATGTTTCTCTTTTCTAATTCTTCCACATCTGTTAATCCCTTGTGACTTAGTGGCTTTATTGCCTTGCTTGCGGTGAACTCTATTAAAAAAAACAAAACAAAAAATGTTATCTACCCTATATATCCACATAATCTGCACCTCTCACCTCCTCTCTTTTTTACATCTTTATAAAAAACACATTCCTTAACCCTCTACTTTGGGTGGATCAAGGGCCTTGTATTGGTACTGCATGAACAAGTACAAAAATGATATATTTTTAAACGGCTGCTTTTATTTCGCTACTAAAAAGACGATATTTTGTTTTTAACTTTTTTTTTTTTTTTTTTTTAAATGGTTTCTTAATGTCGAATTTGTAAGGAAGAGTTATCGCCCTTAGATCATATTTTTGTCCCGTTAAGATTATTTTTTTTCTTCTCTGGCGAATGAAAGAAATATTACTCAAAAATTAAATCATAGTCTTGTTACTTGTCTATGTAGTTATTGCATTGCTTCTTCATTCATTGCATATACTGAGCATTATACAATGAAAATTAAAATTCATTCAATAAATATGTTAATCAGGAATTGACTTTCTAAATCAAAAGCCTTGTTCATTGTTTATATTACTGCTAACATAGTCTTGCTATCTTTTTTATTTTCAGGTAAGCGTATATGTATAGGCTATGAAAATGGTAACCTCAGAGTTGTCGGACTGAAAGAACAAAGCACTTTGCAGGAAATGAATTGTAAGTTGAAATTCACTTTAATTCTTTCTTCAAATCAACCCTATTTCTCTCTCTCTCTGGTTAATACTTGGATGCTTGCATGTTGCACAGTTGCTTTTTATTCTGAAATGATGCCACATTAATAATCTTATTTATTTAATTTCTATCTGCTTATATCACCCATGATATCACAGGTAGGATATGTTTAAGCTTTCATTCACTCTAATCATTATATATCTGGCGATAGCAAATTTTAGCTGCACCAAAAAATAAATGAGATTCTTCTTTTATGTGCTGTGTCCATTTATGGCTTTCCACAGCTTCCTATCTCTTGTAGCACTAAATCAAGAAAAAAGTGAGTAGTCAGGAAAAGAGGCTTAAAAACTGGACATTTTTTTAAATGTGTTTCTTTTGAATTATTTAATGTTGCCATCAAATGCATGATGACTCAAAAATTTTTCAGACAGATTTGAACGGTTGAGTTTAAAATGAATTATTTTAATTTGGTAGTCACAGTTGTTTCATGACGAGGAAGGATTTTCAAACAATTCTATCATGCAGTCTCCTCATCCAAATCTTCACATCACAGGGAGTTAAAATATTTGAATTCTAAAATTATTTATTTACTTCCACATTTTATGACTACAGATATATAAGATCTACAGGCATATAAGTCACATGTCTTATTTCTGCAAGAGATATTTAAAAAAAAATTATTATATGGTACATTGACTACTACTGAAGCTTTGTTTTTGTTTAATAATAGTTTTATTTATTTACTGAACTTGTTCTTTTATTCCAGGCAACACCAGACTCTCCTCTTATTTTTTTTTTTTTTTTTTTTTTTTTTAGAAAGGTTCTTTATTTGGTTAAAAACAAATTTATTTATTTCTAATATTTTGGGAGAAAAGTGTATTTTATATCTTCTCAAATACATTATGTATTTGATACATGATGTGTCAATTACATTATCATTGCAGATATGAGGGAATGTAGACAATCTTACCAATCAATTTATTTTTAAGCCATTGCAGTCATTCTAATTGTTTTTTCTTTTGGTTTTTCAGTTCATTCTACAAGTGTTACATGTCTGGATTTCAACCAAGATAATTCCTTGTTGCTTAGCGGTTCTTCTGATTTAAAGTTTTTCATTTCAAACAGCAACAGTGGAAAGGTGAGTAGAATTTTAAGCCTCTCTGTAGAATTGAATTGCTCACCGTTCAGGCAGGTGACGTTTTGTCTGTGTTTTTTTTTTTAGGGGGTGGTTGTTGGATGGTTTCTATTTCTGTCTCATCTTCTGCACAGCATTTCAAACTGACCTGCACAGATATTTGCATTGTAAATTACAAACTAAAACAGATAAGTCATTTTTCTAAATGTATGCAATTTCATCATTTGCATATTTCTAATGCTTAGGAATTCAAATCAATTTTATTTTATTTTTTTTTATTTTTTTTTTTTTTTTGCATTTAACCAAAGGGAACTAAGGCAGATGACCTGTTGTTGCTTGACATATTTTTTAAATCAACTAAAATTTGGTCAAAGTATTTTATTCATATTTACTATTTTAATGATTTTTCAAAATCTTCATTTGATCAATTGTACTGACTTAATCTAGTGTTTTTTATTAAAAAAATTTTAAACTTTGAGCTTTACTATGCTGGCATGTGTACACAGAAATTTTTCCCTTTTTGCAAAACAAGTTAACTATTTTTCAGAACTGGTCCCAGATTGAAAATTCAGTATGTTAACTTTATAATGTATTGTGTTGTAAATATGTTACCTTTATAATATATTGTGTTGTAAATCTGTGACCAGTTTGTAAATCAGCAAAAAAGGGAAATATTTTATCTCTATATGGCGGCATGATAATATTCAAAGTACCCTGTTTGAAAAATTCTAAATAAAAAAAAAAATAAATAAATACAACCACACCACCAAGCTGGCTGAACATCTGATGGTTTGATTTAAAGAATGTATCTGTGGACACAAAATCAGGATTTACATTGGCACACAAATGATCAAAACTTACAATCCTGTGTTTTTTTTAGAAATCGTTTTGGTTGATTGATCTGTTTTTTTTTACGATTTATCAACCCTTTGCAGGTTATTTAAAGCCGGAAAATATTTTTAGATTGTAAGAATTCCTTTTGAGATAATCATGTTTTTTACTGATACAAGTTCTACTAATTAACCCTTGTGTGGGGGGAGAACAGGTGGATTCATTAGTTTTCCCTGAGGATATTTACACATAAGTGAATATAACAAACCCAACTGAAATTGTACCTCAACTCACCAAATTCCATTTTCGAGATGTTAGCCATTACATCACCTGAGCATCCAAACTTACAGCAACTGGTATTCTCTAGCTGTCTCCCATCTAGGTACTGACCATGCTTGACATTGCTTAACCTTGGTGATCATACATGAACCAATGTTTCAATGGGATATTACTGTCAACCTTTCTAGAAATTGAGATAAATCTTTGTTTTGCATAATTCGTGCAAAAGTAAGTTATTTTTGTTTTGTTTTTTTTCTAGTCCTGTGTTTAATCACGGACTTGGTAATACACATTATGGCAAATTGAGTAGCCATACTTTTTCCCTAATAATCACAGTTATATAACCAGATTGAAAATGCCTTCTACAAGTAAAATTGTTTAGATGCTCAGGGTGATATCTTTTGACATTAATATCTTTAATCCTTATTATTGTTCACCAAAATCCTTGCGGGGGGAAAAATAAAATGCCCAACCCTTTTTCATTTGTCTTAATTACATTGGCAGCCTGTTACACAGAACATTCTGATCATTTTCAAGCAGCTTTTAAGTATGCAAATTAAATATTAAGAAAATTTAATTTATAAATTGTTGTAACCTAGAAAAGGTTACTGAATGAGGAATAAACAAAACGGAGGTTGGAAATAAAATTGTAATCTTTATAACATCAACAAAATACAATACTCGCCAGAGGCGTGAAGTAGGTAAACCACTGCTAATGGTGGACTACTTAGACAGCATATTACCCCCATTTACAATAGTGTTCAATGTATTTATGAGGATTGGGACATAACCATTAATGTTCATAGGTACAGTATATAACATTATCTATTACAGTTCAGGTTCTATCTATCTATCCTAGTCTGTTAATATCTATCCTAGTCTGTTAATATCTATCCTAGTCTGTTAATATCTATCTATCTATCTATCTATCTATCTATCTATCTATCTATCTATCTATCTATCTATCTATCTATCTATCCTAGTCTGTTAATATCTATCTATCTATCTATCTATCCTAGTCTGTTAATATCTATCTATCTATCTATCCTAGTCTGTTAATATCTATCTATCTATCTATCCTAGTCTGTTAATATCTATCTATCTATCTATCCTAGTCTGTTAATATCTATCTATCTATCTATCCTAGTCTGTTAATATCTATCTATCTATCTATCCTAGTCTGTTAATATCTATCTATCTATCCATCCTAGTCTGTTAATATCTATCTATCTATCCATCCTAGTCTGTTAATATCTATCTATCTATCTATCTATCCATCCTAGTCTGTTAATATCTATCTATCCATCCTAGTCTGTTAATATCTATCTATCTATCTATCCATCCTAGTCTGTTAATATCTATCTATCTATCTATCCATCCTAGTCTGTTAATATCTATCTATCTATCTATCCATCCTAGTCTGTTAATATCTATCTATCTATCTATCCATCCTAGTCTGTTAATATCTATCTATCTATCCATCCTAGTCTGTTATCTATCTATCTATCCATCCATCCTAGTCTGTTAATATCTATCTATCTATCTATCCATCCTAGTCTGTTATCTATCTCTATCCATCCTAGTCTGTTAATATCTATCTATCTATCCATCCTATCTGTTAATCTATCTATCTATCCATCCTAGTCTGTTAATATCTATCTATCTATCTATCCATCCTTGTCTGTTAATATCTATCTATCTATCTATCCATCCTAGTCTGTTAATATCTATCTATCTATCTATCCATCCTAGTCTGTTAATATCTATCTATCTATCTATCCATCCTAGTCTGTTAATATCTATCTATCTATCCATCCTAGTCTGTTAATATCTATCTATCTATCCATCCTAGTCTGTTAATATCTATCTATCCATCCTAGTCTGTTAATATCTATCTATCCATCCTAGTCTGTTAATATCTATCTATCCATCCTAGTCTGTTAATATCTATCTATCTATCCATCCTAGTCTGTTAATATCTATCTATCTATCTATCTATCCATCCTAGTCTGTTAATATCTATCTATCCATCCTAGTCTGTTAATATCTATCTATCTATCCATCCTAGTCTGTTAATATCTATCTATCTATCTATCCATCCTAGTCTGTTAATATCTATCTATCTATCTATCCATCCTAGTCTGTTAATATCTATCTATCTATCTATCCCTCCTAGTCTGTTAATATCTATCTATCTATCTATCCATCCTAGTCTGTTAATATCTATCTATCTATCCATCCTAGTCTGTTAATATCTATCTATCTATCTATCCCTCCTAGTCTGTTAATATCTATCTATCTATCTATCCATCCTAGTCTGTTAATATCTATCTATCTATCCATCCTAGTCTGTTAATATCTATCTATCCATCCTAGTCTGTTAATATCTATCTATCTATCTATCCATCCTAGTCTGTTAATATCTATCTATCTATCTATCCATCCTAGTCTGTTAATATCTATCTATCTATCTATCTATCCATCCTAGTCTGTTAATATCTATCTATCTATCTATCCATCCTAGTCTGTTAATATCTATCTATCTATCTATCCATCCTAGTCTGTTAATATCTATCTATCTATCTATCCATCCTAGTCTGTTAATATCTATCTATCTATCCATCCCTAGTCTGTTAATATCTATCTATCTATCCATCCTAGTCTGTTAATATCTATCTATCCATCCCAGTCTGTTAATATCTATTAATATCTATCCATCCCAGTCTGTTAATATCTATCTATCTATCCATCCTAGTCTGTTAATATCTATCTATCTATCTATCTATCCATCCTAGTCTGTTATCTATCCATCCTAGTCTGTTAATATCTATCTATCTATCCATCCTATCTGTTAATCTATCTATCTATCTATCCATCCTAGTCTGTTAATATCTATCTATCTATCTATCCATCCTAGTCTGTTAATATCTATCTATCTATCTATCCATCCTATCTGTTAATATCATCTATCTATCCATCCTAGTCTGTTAATATCTATCTATCTATCTATCCCTCCCTAGTCTGTTAATATCTATCTATCTATCTATCCATCCTAGTCTGTTAATATCTATCTATCTATCCATCCTAGTCTGTTAATCTATCCATCCTAGTCTGTTAATATCTATCTATCTATCTATCCATCCCTAGTCTGTTAATATCTATCTATCATCCCATCCTAGTCTGTTAATATCTATCTATCTATCTATCTATCTATCTATCCATCCTAGTCTGTTAATATCTATCTATCTATCCATCCATCTGTTAATATCTATCTATCTATCTATCCATCCTAGTCTGTTAATATCTATCCTATCTATCCATCCTAGTCTGTTAATATCTATCTATCTATCTATCCATCCTAGTCTGTTAATATCTATCTATCTATCCATCCTAGTCTGTTAATCTCTATCTATCTATCCATCCTAGTCTGTTAATATCTATCTATCTATCCATCCTAGTCTGTTAATATCTATCTATCCCATCCTAGTCTGTTAATATCTATCTATCTATCCATCCTAGTCTGTTAATATCATCTATCTATCCCTAGTCTTAATATCTATCTATCTATCTATCCATCCTAGTCTGTTAATATCTATCTATCTATCTATCCATCCTAGTCTGTTAATATCTATCTATCTATCTATCCATCCTAGTCTGTTAATATCTATCTATCTATCCATCCCTAGTCTGTTAATATCCATCTATCCATCCTAGTCTGTTAATATCTATCTATCTATCCTAGTCTGTTAATCCTATCTATCTATCCATCCTAGTCTGTTAATATCTATCTATCTATCCATCCTAGTCTGTTAATATCTATCTATCTATCTATCTATCCATCCTAGTCTGTTAATATCTATCTATCTATCTATCTATCTATCCATCCTAGTCTGTTTCTATCTATCTATCTATCCATCCATCTCTGTTAATATCTATCTATCCATCCTAGTCTGTTAATATCTATCTATCTATCTATCTATCTATCTATCTTAGTGTGTTAATATCTATCTATCTATCTATCTATCTTAGTGTGTTAATATCTATCTATCTATCTATCTATCTTAGTGTGTTAATATCTATCTATCTATCTATCTATCTATCTATCTATCTATCTATCTATCTTAGTGTGTTAATATCTATCTATCTATCTATCTATCTATCTTAGTGTGTTAATATCATCCTATCTATCTATCTATCTATCTATCTTATGTGTTAATATCTATCTATCTATCTATCTATCTATCTTAGTGTGTTAATATCTATCTATCTATCTATCTATCTATCTTAGTGTGTTAATATCTATCTATCTATCTATCTATCTATCTATCTATCTATCTATCTTAGTGTGTTAATATCTCTCTATCTATCTATCTATCTATCTATCTTAGTGTGTTAATATCTATCTATCTATCTATCTATCTATCTATCTTAGTGTGTTAATATCTATCTATCTATCTATCTTAGTGTGTTAATATCTATCTATCTATCTATCTATCTATCTTAGTGTGTTAATATCTATCTATCTATCTATCTTAGTGTGTTAATATCTATCTATCTATCTATCTATCTTAGTGTGTGTTAATCTATCTATATCTATCTATCTATCTTAGGTGTGTTAATATCTATCTATCTATCTATCTTAGTGTGTTAATATCTATCTATCTATCTATCTTAGTGTGTTAATATCTATCTATCTATCTATCTATCTATCTTATCTATCTATCTATCTATCTTAGTGTGTTAATATCTATCTATCTATCTATCTATCTATCTATCTATCTATCTTAGTGTGTTAATATCTATCTATCTATCTATCTTAGTGTGTTAATATCTATCTATCTATCTATCTATCTTAGTGTGTTAATATCTATCTATCTATCTTAGTGTGTTAATATCTATCTATCTATCTTAGTGTGTTAATATCTATCTATCTATCTATCTATCTTAGTGTGTTAATATCTATCTATCTATCTTAGTGTGTTAATATCTATCTATCTATCTATCTTAGTGTGTTAATATCTATCTATCTATCTATCTATCTATCTATCTATCTATCTTTTGTAACCTAGGAAGATTTACTGAATGAGGAATAAACAAAACAGAGTTTAGAAATTAAATTGGAATCTTTATAACATCAACAAAATACAATATTTGCCAGTGGCTTGAAGTAGGTAAACCACTGCTAATGATGGACTACTTAGACAGCATATTACCCCCATTTACAATAGTGTCCAATTTATTTATGAGGACTGGGACACACCCATTAGTGTTCATAGGTAAAGTACATAACATAAATATTACAGGGTGACTCTATAAGCTGTTCAAACTCTTGCATCCAAGCCAAGAATTGTGCTAAATTCTTATGTCAAAATCTTGTAAAATTTCCACATCTGTATGTATTTTGGAGTTTGCTAAAAGATTGAGAAATGAAAATTTAAATATATCACTTGCTTTTACACACATATTCTTCATCCGCATATGCACCTAAACAAGCGCCAATCTTCCTCCACCTGAATGTGTAGTAATATTTTTTTTCATTTTAATTCCTTTAAACACTTTAGTCAAATATATTGGACATTTGAAATTTATACTTGTATTATAAATATTACATTCAAATTAACGAAACTATGTACATCTCCAAATCCAAGCACTTCTATTGCCTGTTGGGGGACCCAGAACCCAAGCTTGACCTCCACCTATGTGTGACCATACTGGGGCATGTGAGACCAAGATAATGGGTCAGATCATTGCACCTACTTGCCTTTGGCCATTCTCTAGTTCTTTTCCACTGCATTAGTGTCCAGTCTGTCGCTCTAACAGTCCACATATTGCCTCTGAGATGAGAGATGTGGTCAGCTCATCTATGTCTGCTCTTCTTGATGGTCTTAATTATGTTCTGTGTTAAAAATGTATATCTTATATGCGAAAACATAGAAGTTTTCTGAGTTTCTTTTTTTATTTTGTTTTGTTTGATAAATTGGACATTTTTCCCTTCCCCCTACCCATATTCATCTCATTTCATATTTATTTATTTATTTATATTTATTTATATATTTATATTTATATATATTTATATATGTATTATAAATTAACTGATTTAAAATATGGTTTCTTCGCTACACAGGAATTACCATGTTTCAAAAACTGAAGCTAAAAACTACAAATTTAATTATGTAATTGAATTAAAAGCATTAATCTGTTTCATCTTCAAGCAAATTTTGGATTCCAAAGTTTGCTTGAAGATGAAACAAATTCAATTTTAATTATATAATTAAATTTGAAGTTTTTTCAAACATGGTAATTCCTGTTCAAAAAAAACCAATTTTTTGAATCAGTTAATTTATAATATTTATGCTCTATAAATTTACATTGAGCACTATTTTGTAAAAAATAAAAATATCAATAAGAACACTGGATTATATATCTTACTGTTCTTTCTTTTTTATTATATATATATATATATATATATATATATATATATATATATATATATATATATATATATAGTATATATATATATATATATATATAGGTATATATATTATAAATTAATTGATTTAAAAATATGGTTATTTTCACTACACAGTTCCAACCATGTTTCAAAAAAAATAGAAGCTAAAACCCTAATTTTATTTTTTGCAAATAAATTAAAAGCATTAGTTCCATTTCATCTTCAAGCAATTTTGGAGTAACTTTTTAAAATTTTGGGTTTTAAAAAGCTAAAATCACGTTTCCATGGTTTAGAATATTCTACTCAAATTGAACATATTTTCCTTATGACAGTATCATTTTGTAAAAATAAAATATCTATAAGAACACGGATTTTATATCTTACTATTTTATTTATATATATATATATATATATATATATATATTTATGCTACATTTTACTTCTCTTTCCTCTGTTGAAGTTTTGCATCAAATATTTGAATTTTTTTCTGGCCAGGTTGTGAATGCTTTTGACCTTAGTACAAATGAAGAAGACGAAGATGCTGAAAATTCCATAGAATCTGTTGCTTTCTCCAAAACGTAAGTATATTTTTATCTACTTAAGATTTACATTGTTAGGAAAATTAATGACAAAGCTGAGAAAACTTTTTCAGGTGACATATTTCATCTTTTTAGAACTTCATGAAAACACTAAAGTAATGTTTACGTTGATGTGAATAAACATCTGGCCAAAAGGGAGTGGGTAATGAAATTTTAAACTTTTAAATTAATTTTTTTTTTTATATGTGTTTGGTTATATAGTCCAACGAATTTTATTTAGTTTCTTTTTCTTCTTGTTTATGTTTTTATCACTTTTATTATTAAATATCCCACATTGCGATAATAGAATTTCTGCCAAGAAAAGTGAAATGTTGTAAGAACAGAAACACAAATTTACAGTGGCTGATCTAGTGATTAAAGCACTTTCTATATATACCCTTTCATCTTAGTGAATTTGTTCTCCTTTTAATTCAAGTAGCATTTTTTTTAATCAAAATTATGGTCGGACTCATTATGGTAGGCAACTAATGCATTGTGTGTTTTGTAAAAGATCCTTTTTGTAATGTTTACTTGATGTGACTTCACATACACATGAAAGAGAGGAGATACGTTAATACTTTAAATTAAATTTTTTTTTTAAATATAGGTTTTGAGTATATAGTCTAATTTCATTTAGTTTCTTTTTCTTTATTTGTAGTAACAATTATTTATAGTACCAATTATAAAATGAAAATTATGGTCCAACTCATTAGAGTGATGAACTAATGCATTTAGTGCGTTGTTTTACAACAGATCCCTTTTGTGTTCATATAATCTTTTATTTAAATTCCTTGAGGTTTCTTCTATGTATTCCTTATAGTAATCATTACAGGTGATAGAATAAATTCTTCCTTCAAGTTTTAGCTTATTATTTTATTTTGTATTGTTTTAGAAGCAGTTCTAACAAATTTCATGTTAAGCTTAGATAAATTCTTTTCAATTGTAGTTGTACTAGAATTGGCGGGTAGAATAAAATATTTTGATTTGTTGGTTTTGTCGGAAAGGTTCACTCTTCTATTTTGAGATATTTTACAAGCTTTTTGTTTCACATTGAATATGAAATAGGGTATTGAAAGAGCTTGAATGTATGTCTTCCATCTTCACATAAATATTAAAGGCTACAAATTCTGAATAAATTATTTTGGATTTTATTTTGTTGTTATGGGGAGACTAGAAGCATTACATTTATACACATATACTCTCAAGAAGAATCTGCAATTTTATTGATTCTGACCTGGCATCTTGGCTTCAATCACTTTCCCACTGCCATAGCATAGTTATATCATGGCTTTTCTATAAATATTTTAATGGTAATTGTTGCAATGAGCTTTCTTCTTTGGCACCTTGACATCACAAATTTAAGCACAGTACTAGATTGGCAGTTAGGTCTTATAATTTCTCTATTGAAATTGCTAGATGCAACCATAAGTTCTATGCTAACAGTTTCTTCTCTTATATTTTCCACTTGTGGAACTCTCTTTCGGCTTCTTGATTACCTGTTAACTATGATCTTAAAAGATTTAAGTGCAACATTAATCGTAGTCATCTGTTTCCTTGATTCCTATTCTTTTATTGTCCTCTCTCTCCTAAAAAACATTTTCTCATTTCTTTTCACACTCAGTAACCCCCTTAAGTCTTAGTGGCTTTATCACCTTGCTTGGATTAAAATGATTAAAAATAAAAAATGTTTGTCTTCATGGAAGATACCAATACCTGTTTGTGGCTTCTTTTATGTGCTGTGTCTCTTCAGGATATCGGCGATCATGGCTCTCCACGGCTTTCTATCCTTAGTAGCTCTAAGTAATGAATGTTTCATCGCTATCCCACCCAGTTCCTTTTCTACTGTCCATTTACACTAACTCGTGAAGTAGGTTACTCACTGTTCCACTCTGTCCCACTTGCCTTCAGTACATCTTATGAGTGTTGGATTCTCCAAGCCCCCTTTCCTTATTATGTATCTCAGAATCCAACATCTTGGTAATGTCATCACTCTTTGTCCAGCAGAACTATAGCACTTTATGGTGACAAAGGAGCTTCTCTGTACAAAAAAAAAACAACTGCTCATGTAGAACTATTTGGACCTTTTGTTCCTGTAGCAGACAACATGCATGAATGCTTATCATATTGCTTAACCCTTCGAGCCCTGCATTCATGAGCAATTTTAACCATTCTGCTTGAGCTCCTGAGTTAAAATTTGTAAATAATTGGTATGTAATGTTTCACGGTAGATATAAAAATAGCTACAAGTGTTTTTCCACCGTTTAACCAGTGGCTGGGCATTACATCATTTTTCTCTACCACTGTTCAACCGGTGACTGGGAATTATGTCATTTTTCTCTACCACCGGTAAAGTGATAGTCAGTGCTCAAAGTGTTAATCATTGCCTGTTGTGGTAGAAGTATAAATAATGATAATGATTGCTGCTCATTTCCAAGTTCAAAATCATTTTTAAGGACCCGTAGGCTTTAAAATATTTGGAACAAAGCTAAAATGAAGCCAAAAATAGTTTATTTGCATAGAAAATTACAAGAGCACCAACTTTCAGCTTCATATTTTCTTAAGTTTCAAATTATAAAGTGTCAAAATCAACAAAACTATGATTTCAGTTTGACAAGATACTCTAGAAAAATGTTTTAACCTTAGAAGTTTGTCCATAAAACAAAACTTCTGTTACATGATCTTCAGATATGTAAAAATATGTAGTAAAAAATATAGAAAAAACTTTCTAAGAGTGCTTAACTGGTTTGCTGATGCTATGAAAATAGTCAATTTTAAAGATGCTAAAAAAATGAAGCAATTTTTAAACAATAATACTGACATTCCTTTAACAAGAATGGATATGGTTGCGACAGAAATAATCTTTTAGGCCATAAATAGCATGCAATCTAATTTAAATGCTGAGTCTGAAATGCTTTGTAAATGAGAAGCTCTCAAAGTGGACAATGTTTTTTTGTATTTCACCCATTTTCAGGTCCTTATCAAAATAAAAGTAAATAAGACAATATATGTAAGCTGTTTATATTATTGTAATCTTACTTATTATAAAATGCAGATTTTGTGTGTGTGTGTGTGTGTGTGTGTCTGTACGTTTATATATTGGATCGGTTTCCTACATTTTCAACCGATTTCAACAAAACTTCACAGGACTGCGTAAAATTACCTTCTTGGTGGTTCTGACAGCACCAAAAATAGGAAAAACACAATTGTTTTTGCACGAAATCAATTTGAAAACACGATAAAACACAATTCTGTCGCCAGAAAGAAAGGGGAACAACTCATATCGAGTTATACTTATTATAAAACCAAGGTTGGTTGTGTGTGTGTGTTCCTTTATATATTGGATTGGATTTCCTACATTTTTCAGCCGATAAAACAAACATCCACTTTTTTTTTTTTGGCATGTAGTGTTTCTTATTGTCTTGCACACTTTTTTCTTTATTTTTACATTCAGAATGCTTTAAAAATTCCATTTACAAGACAATTGTTTATAAAATTATTCTATTCAATCTGGAGACTCATAACGATTAAAAATAATGTTTTTGTTTGAGTTTGGGTTTGACCAATTCGTAAAAAAAAAAAAAAACTAAGACATGTGTGTCCATCAACCTTAAACAATAATCTTTGTCAATTTTATTTTTCAATCTTTATGATGGTCGATACTTGATCTAACTCTTACTGTTACATCCCCAGGCAACGCCGGGCTCTACTGCTAGTCTACCATAAATATCAACAGTTGTCACCAAGTTTCAAATCTATACAGTCTCCTTGAAGCTATGAATGTCAGAATTTTGTTGAAAACCTTGTTTAACTAAATGCAATTAAATTTAAAGATGCTCTGGATTAAAAAGTATTAAAAATATAGATCTAATATTTGGGATTTATCAATGAATTTGATAAAGAAACATATGTGAATTTTCCCTGATTTTTCTGAGAGGGACACCTGTAGCCATTGGTTGATTTGAGGTGGGATGATCCAATTTTATTTGAACCTGAAATAAGAATGGTTTATCTTCAGTTCATCATCACAGAAATGATATTGTTGGAAAGTAGAATAAAAAAATATGTACGGACTTATTAGTTTTAAGGTTGCAGATGAATCATGAAATTTACTTATGGACAGAGTCTTTTCTTAAATAGAGTATCATTTGAAAATTGACATTGGTTACACTTTTTTTTCTGTTGAATCAAGTTTTTAATTTTGTTCTTTTTACAGCCAACCATGGGCAGCTATTGGAACCTTAAAAGGAAGTGTCTATTTATGGGATATTCAAGCAGGCAAAATTCGTAACAGTTGGAATTTTCACGTAAGTGGGGGATTATTCCACAAATTCATTGGACTAATATCCTCATCTTTGTTGTTTTTATTACAGGTTATTTTGCATCTTCATGAAAGTTGGTGATTTGCTCCAGCTGAAAAGGTGCATTGACTATTTTGTTCTAATTTTCGATGCCAAACTTTTTTGTAATAAATAATTTTAGTTCTATAACTTTCTCCACAGCCATTTTTTGTTTTTGTTTTTTTAATCATTTCAACCTAAGCAAGGCAGTGATGCCACGGGGAGTGAAAGGGAGTGAGAAAACTTTAGAAGGAACTGGAAACCCAATCCTAAACAGGAAATGAAGGATAAATCTCTACTCCTGTTCAAAAAACTGGGGAGGTATATGAACCGAGCAACAAGCAAACTTATCTACACCTATTGAAGAAAAATAAATAGTAAATAAAATTTCAGAATTCTGGCAGAGAAATTAGAAGTATAAAGTTGAAGTATACTTTAGAAAGGATTGGAAATCCAATCCTAAACAGAAAACAAGGGATAAACCTCTACTCCTGTTCAAAAAACTGGGGTGGAATATGAAGCGGATGATAGGCAAACTTATCTACACCTATTAAGGAAAAAACAAATTTTCTGTTGTTTCTTCCTCCTGCTTATTTAGACAGGTTGTTTGTTCTTTCTATTGACCAAGAATTTTTGGATTCTAACAATTCTGAAAGGGGCCAAAATTTCATTAGGGGCTATAAAAAAAGACATAATTAAAAGAGACAAGACAAAATCAATAACTACAATATTTGGCAATATGAAAAGAAAAAAAGCACACAAAATAATATAGAATCGGTTAACCAGTTATCAGTGCTGCATCACATTGGGATCTACTGCAAATTTAGAACATTTTATTAAAAATTTGGATGTGCATCATCTTTCCATGAGAATGTGTTCTCAGTTTCGAGTGGATTGCATTCCAATCTGAAAAGTCCTTGAGAAATATATTGTTGCCATATCAGGTCTGGTGTTCCTGTTTAGAATTCTTGATAAGATCCATAGAAGAATCTGCAATATTATTGGTTCTGACTTGGCATCTTGGCTCCAGTCACTTTCCTACTACCAGAACATTGCTCTCCTGTGCCTTTTCTATAAATATTTATGTGGCAATTGTTCTGATGAACTTTTCACTATGGTACTTAGATTCCATGAATTTAAGTGCAGTACTAGATTGGCAGCTAGGTCTCATCAATTTACACTTGAATTGGCCGCTAGATGTAACCATAAATTCTATGCTAACAGTTTCTTCTATTGCATTTCTCACTTGTGAAATTCTCTTTTGGTTTCATGCTTTTCAGCCAACATTGATCTTCAAAAAATTAAATGTAATGTCAATCATTATTTTCTGTCTTTTTAATTCATGTTCTGTTATTCTTCTTGCACTTTAATAATGTTTTTTTTCTTATATTCTTTCACATTCAGTAACCCCTTGTGGCTTTATTGCCTTGCTTGGGATAAACTGATTAAAAATCAACCAAAACAACCATCTTTATGCAAACAAAAGAATTGGTTCTTAGGACTTAATTTGATTTGTATATAGATATATCTGTAAATATATATTATTGACACATGTATATTTTCTTTCTGCATGTTTCCCCTTTTTTAGCAAATGTACACAATATTTTAATTCCGCAAGGTGTTACCAAGTGTTAGAGAATGAGAAAAAATTACTATTAAGGAGACAGGTCAATAAAAGAACATTAATTAAGAAGACAAAAAATAACGATTGACATTGCATTTAAATTTTTGAAGATCGAAATTGACTAGGAAGCAAGAAGCCAGAAGAGTTCCACATGCAAGAAGTGCAATAGAAGAAACTGTTAACATAGAACTTACGATCATATCTAGCCAATTCAGTTGTAAATTGAGGAGACATTGCTGCCAATCTAGTAATGCGATTAAATTCATAAAGTCTAAGTACCATAGAGGAGAGTCCACCAGAATTCTGATTGTCCAATTCTAGGGTCCATCTTTAATGTTTTGTCGAAAATTTATGTCCTTTAAATTTTCTTTTCCTTATATGTCATCTGAAAAACTTTTTCTTTTCCAGGAATCAGTCATAAAGTTAAAATGGATGGACAATGGTCAACAGCTGTTCACTGTTGGTCTGGATGGTGTAGTCAGATTGTGGGACACAAGAGATGGTCAGCTGATTCATCAATGGCATGGACATGCAGCATCTATCATGGATTTTGATATCTCAAAGTAGGTAGCTAGCAGAATTAACTCATTATACAGGGTGTGGCAGAAATACCTTCAACATAATGGTAACACATTAGCTAGATGAAGACACCATTGCCACTAATGTCTTACCATTATGTACAGTGTATTTCTGCCACACCCTTTGTGAATTGTGTGATGAAATCTCTCCTAAAGTGAGACTTTAAGGGGGTCTACAGATCTGGTATCAGTTATTAGGTTGGAATGAAAGTCCTTCAATTTCTTCTTCTATGTGCTATGTCTGTTCCAGTGTTTGGTGATCATGGCTCTCCACAATATCCTACCCTTTGTAGCTCTTAGTAAATTTTGTCTTTATGCTATATCTTCTAATCTCTGTTCTTTCATCCATTTAGACGTTCCCTAGGTAGGTTATACACTATTTTCCTCTGTCCCTCTTGTCTTCAATCTGTCCTTTGAGTGTCAAATTTTCCAAGCCCTCTTTCCTCATTAAGGGTTTGAGAAATTTCAGTTGTCTCTTCCTGATGTTAAGTATAAGTATCCTTTTTGTTTCCATTTTATCTAGAACTTTGTTGTTACTCACATATTCAGTCCATGGTATTCTCAGCATCCTTCTGTAGAACCATATTTCCGTTGCCTCAAGTCTCTTCTTCATCTGTGAGGAGATTGTGCAGCATTTATTGCCATTTAGGAGGACTTATTACATAACAGTTTAGTACTGTTTATTTCTAATGAAACTTTCCTGTTTCTTAATACTTTGCTTAGCTTTGGTAAGGCACCTTTTGCTATTCCAATGCACCTTTGGATTTCAGTGTTACAGTTTCCGTCCTCTGTTAAATACGTCTTCAACCTTTTCATCTTCGAGAAAATTCTCCAACAGTCACTGCCATATAGAAGGATTGATATTACATTGCAATTCAGCAATGTTTTCTTTGATTCTAACGTAACTTTCCTGTTTCTTAATACTTTGCTTAGCTTGTAGAAGACATCTTTCACTATTCTAATGCATATTTGGGTTTCAGTGTCGTACTTTCTATCCTAATTTAAGACTTCCCTGATATTTAAATTTTTGTACTTGCTTGATTTTAGCATCTCCAATTTGTAATTTGCATGTTGGAATATTCCTTTTGCTCTCTTTTTACATGCTTTCTGTCTTCTTGCAATTGATGTTTAGTCCTTTCTTCTTGCTTTCCTTCACTACCTTCTGTAGGAGTTCTTGTAGTTTCCTTCATGCGTCTGCTATCAACACTGTGTCATCTGCATATCTTATGTTGTTAAGATGGTGGCCGCCAATAATGAATCTTGATGTTATATATTAAACTGGAAAGAAAGTCCTGCCACATTTTTGGCATGATCACTTTGAGGGCCCCTTTTCAACACATTCATTTTTACATTCTAATGTTTTTTATTTTCTTTCTTTGAAGATTACTTAATATTAGAAGAAGTAAATTTGATATCAATTTTATCCTTTTAAAAAGAAAATGTTTCCTTATAAGGAAACGGCTAATATTACTATTAGATTAGAAAGACCTTTTCAGCAACAGAAAATTCAAGAAATACTAATTCTGTTTATGAAGATAAAGCTTTTAAGTGCCTGGCCACTCAATAATTACTGTTTTATTCTTTTTGCGTCTTTAATAAATCCATTTTATTTTATATTTTCAGGAATGGATCTCTTATAGCAACAGTAGCAGAAGATAGAACAGCCAAAATCTTCAGTTTTGACTCTCCAAGTGTAATACTTTCTGAAAGCTGAATGAATTTATTTAATTTTTAATAAAAATATACACTAAAAAAAATGTAGTTGTTATATATTTTGATATATAATTTATGCGGGAGACATGGCCGAGTGGTTAGAACATTCACCTTCTGACCATGATACCCGGGTTTGAATCTCACCATCATTGATTTGTCAGTAAGGAGACTTCCTGATGTTATCAGACTGGAGGGGTCACTCCCTGAGTATGTCACCTTTGGAAAGTGCCAGAAAACTCTACCATGGGTTGACTCAAGCCTTGTGAGTGAAATTGGGTAGACAGAACTATTAAGGGCTGTTGATAGCTGTGCTAGCACAAAGTCAAAAGTCATTGTGGCCAAGGGCTTGAGCATGCTGGCCTTGTTCAAATTGTTGATCACGCTAGATAACATGCTCTTTCCCAGAAACTGTAATTAAGGTCTGCTCAGCATAGTTGCAGTATAAACCACAGGTAGGCTCTCTGGGTGTTGAATAAACACAAATGCGCCTGAGCAGGAATCTGCAATAGGGATTGGCTAGCTGCCCTAGTAGACCAGTATCCTTGAATATGAGTGGCCAACTATACATATGCGGGAGAAGGCAGAGTTTCTCACATCCTCATGATCAATTAAAACCAAATATCCTACTTGTCTGATATTAATTTGACAGTGTTCAGAAATGAATAAAAACTTATTTTATATATGAAAATTTTAGTCTTGTATTCTTATCAGACTTTCATTAGTATCTGTCTATATTTCTGAGATGAGGTATTATGTACACCATTTACATTATTTGGACTATTGTCCTCATTTTTGTCACCATATTTATTACAGCATTTCGGCCTCAAGGACACATGGCACAGTGGGTAAAAGCGTTAGTTTGATCCAGTGACAGGATCCAAAGAGTGAGAGTTCAATACCTGGTTAAGGCAGTGGAGAACTTGGAGAGGGGAATTAACAGGAGATAACTGAGATTAAACATGGCTTGTGGAACTAGAACAGTCTACCCCAGTGAGCGAAATAAAGGGTTCAGTTCGAGATTCCAACCACCTGAAGAAGGCCGGAGCATAGAACGGCCGAAACGTTGTAATAAATATGGCGAGAAAGATGAGGACAATAGTCCGAATAATGTAAATAGTGTAGACTTTCATTAATGTATCATTATGCAAGGAAGATGATCATAGATATGTGGTGAGATTGGAAGGAAATCTTAGCTCTTTCCAGTGAACCAAACGGTTGATTTAAATAGGTACTGCTCACAATTAAACTAATTAGAACTAACAATTGGCAAAAAGCACCAAGAATGAGCATTATATCGTTTCAAAATAGCATATTTGGTGATTAGACAGAATTTGTTACTATTTGGCTGAGACGTGTTTATTCACCCACCCTATTTGGAAGATATTGCGTCTTTTTTGTTTTTACATTATTGTTCACCGATTACAAGGCCCAAGAGCTACTCAGAATAGAGGGTTACTAAATGAGGTTGATGTAAGTGTGTACAAGGAGATAGCAAGAGGTATATCTTATGAGGATATGTAGGATAGATACTATTTGAACCTAGACTTGAAGAGGTTAAGATTGTAGTGATTGGGGAAGCATCCTTAAATGTCTGTTCCACAAAAGTTCAGAGCAAGAAGCTGTCTCAGTGGGACTTCCTCCTTACCAATGGAATATATAGGGAATGAGGATAAGTTGACTCAGTGTATGTGCCATGGATCCTGGCTGTGAAAGTTTGAACTCTTGCAATCAACGAATGTAGTTTTCCCAAACGTCTTCCATGAAAATAGTGAGAGGTTCGCCAAGTTTCGTCTATGAGGAAAGTTGTTGTAGGGTAGGAAATAATTCAACACCCGTAGAATCACGTAAATGCTTTTGAATTCTGTCGGAACTTTAATTTTCTTAAACAAACAGTGTATCGACTGGATGATTACAAATGGTACCTTGATCAATTCTTTGCTAGGAGGATAGAATCATGAAGTTGCCAGAGATAATGAAACCAAAATTGTCAATATGCCATAAATTGTGCGGTACAAGTCAACCTCATTTTTTTTTTTTTTAGCTCAAAATTCTGAGAGCTATACCTAACATATAGGTCGACCCCACCCCTTTTTATATACGGTAGGCTGCCAGTGGCCCAAAACTTAGGCCCACCGGTAAATGAAGTTCTACAACAGCTTCCCGCCATATCAGAATGACTTCATCGCTCGGCTACGAACAGCTTCCCGACATATCAGAGGGATTTGATCGCTCCGCTACAGACAGCTTCCCGCCATATCAGAATGATTTGATCGCTCCGCTACAGACAGCTTCCCGCCATATCAGAATGACTTGATCGCTCTGCTACGGACAGCTTCCCGCCATATCAGAATGACTTGATCGCTCGGCTACGGACAGCTTCCCGACATATCAGAATGACTTGATCGCTCGGCTACGGACAGCTTCCCGACATATCAGATAGTTTGAGAAGCACTGGGCTACAGTATACGATAATCTGTGCGAAAACTACATAAGGTCACGTGACTTATTGAGATACTAACTGTAATATCTTTTTACAGAGTGCCCAGTAAAAAAAGCAGTAAATTCAAAAAAACGTGAGACAACCGTTGAAAACTGGTGACGACTGATGTAACTGAAAAATTCAGGAAGAATTTCTGCACATTTCGTCAGTCTCCACATCGGATGTTCTTCTTTGAAAGGTACGATAACTTGACGCTCAAAATAACTGAGTTGTTTAGACATACGAGAAGGGCAGAACGAAAGACGAAAGTCGTCTGCAAATAACCTTTAACTCATAAAAGAACCAATCAGAGTTAAGTAATTACATGAGAGTCGAATGATTATTCAATGTCCTGAATATTCAAGAAATTTATTCAAGGTCAATTATTCCTGAAAGATAAAATAGTGATATTAAATTTGCCACTTTTTACTGGGTAATTTGTATATCCATTGTATAGCAAACAACATACACTTGTACGTATCATATATTGTATCGATATAACTTAGTAAAACATTTAAAATTCATCAGGTCTACTGATAAATACATTAAAGTCAACACCAACTCCTATAAAATTAATATGCCAAATATGTTCACCAAACAAAAGTTTTAGTGGTATATATTTGTGGCAGCCTGCTCGAGGTACGGTAAGTGGTGTACAACTCTGTGGTAAAGGTTTGCATTTTATACCTGCCGTAAAAGTCAACCCTTAGTTTTGGAAAGATTTTTTTAGGTTTGAAAACTCGACCTGTATACCGCAATTTAGGGTATTTAGTGTACAGTCATAGACACTGTGGTCAGAAATAATTTTTGAAAACATTTTCATATTGCTAAGCATACCAGATTACGAATATAAAAAAAATACTTTTAAATTAAATTTTATAAAAGTTATTCATTTTTACGGTGTAAATTAATTGTAAATTAGTCCCACGCAAGCCAGAACAAAATATGCTCATATTTTTTAAAATTTTTTTTATAATCATTTCACTCCAAGCAAGGCGGGAAGCCACTAGCACGCAAGGGGTTACAGAGAGTTGGAGCTAGAGCAAAGAGGAGTGATAGAGGAAAGGATGAAGAGAAGGATAGGGGATAGATCAAGGAATCTGGAGACGTTGATTGACATTACATTTGAATAGTCGGAGATTATAGCTCTCAGGGAAACAGGAAAGGGGAGGGAGTTCAACAGGCGAGAGGTGCGAGACATGAAGCTATTGGAGTAGAAGAGACGGCTACATTTAACAGTTTCGACAGTGAAAAGGTGAGAGCGAGATGCCAGCCTAGTTGAACGCTTAAATTCATGAAACTGGGAACCAGCGAAAGCAGCTCCTCCGAGCAGTTACCATGAAATATGATGTGATTTATAAAAATGAAAAAAAAAAATTGAAAGCTGTAAACTGGAATTCTCTTTTATATAATACTAGCAGAAGTACTTGGCGTTGCCCGGGACAAAATTATTGAAATTATTTCTGACTTAGTTATATTCCCGGAATATATTATTTAGACACTATATCAGAAAAATGAAACATCTAAGAAAACACAGTGTAGTGGACCGTGGCGATGTAGATGTGAGTTAAAATTTCCTGCTAGACGGTCCAGCTACATAAGAATGTTGGACTTTGATTAAGTCCAAAGAAAACAAACAAGACCGATAAACATGTATAAACAAATATATGTATTAATAACAAGTTACAAAACAAATTGACAGTTACATAGAGTTTGTGTGGTGTTGTGGTGAGTGTGTTGTGAGGAGTGTTCGTACGTACGTGTATTGTTCTTAGTGTGTTCCCAGAATTTGGGAAACGCTGTTTCTATGAGAGCTCACATATTGGTGTTAGCTGAAATGAGAGAAGAATCACCACCCCACCTCCAAGCAAGGTAACGGCTCAAGGCCTGAGGGAAAAAAAGAGATCGAGGCGAAGGGTCAGCCAGTATTTATAGCCAGGGGCAAGAGAGACCCCTGGTGAAGGATTAAGGAACTAAGGAGGTGCTAACTCCGACAACAGAAATGAAAATAAAGCGTAAGTTTTTTTTTACGTATTAGACTTTTACAAAAGGATTTCTTTGTTTAGAATACTGTAAAGATTTATTTTGCTTCCACTTGTGGAGCATCCAACATACAGTTGACCATGTGAAAAACAGGGATCTTCTAAGCGTAATCCAGCCACTTGTTTATTGACATTGCAAAGCCAAGCTTAACTTAAAATTGAACGGAACATCTATAGAGATCAAAGGAATTCTTGGAATATAGACATCTCACCACAACCAGAAAGAATTTTTGCTTCAATTTTGCTCTCTCTGCTCTTGACTTTCATTCTGTCTTCTCTGTTCAATTCTGGTTTTGTTACCTTTGAGTCATAACATCCTTTGTTCTATTTCAACTAATCTCTGAATCTCTTTTACAATGGCAACAGGAGGTTTTCTTTCAGGAGAGGATTTTTCTTGCGAGGCATATTAGCTCACCTCTTAACTATTTCGCTGTCTGCATTGTACGAATAAGAGGGTTT